ATGAGTGAGTTATACCTCAATCAATATGGAAAGAGTGAGTTATACCTCAATCAATATGGAAAGAGTGAGCAATAACCCCATCAATATGGAATGTGTGAGTAATAATTCAATCAATATTGAATGAGTGAGCATTAACTCCATCAATATGAATGGATGAGCAATAACTCCATCAATATGGAATGAGTGAGCAATAACTCCATCAATATGGAATGAGTGAGCAATAACTCCATCAATGTGGAGTGAGTGAGCAACAACTCCATCAATATGGAATGAGTGAGCATTAACTCCATCAATATGGAATGAGTGAGCAATAACTCCATCAATGTGGAGTGAGTGAGCAATAACTCTGTCAATATGGAATGAGTGAGTAATAACTAAATCAATATCGAATGAGTGAGCAATAACACCATCAATATGGAATGAGTGAGTAATAATTCAATCAATATGGAATGGGTGAGCAATAACTCCATCAATATGGAATGCATGAGCAATAAGTCCATCAATATGGAATGAGTGAGCAATAACTCCATCAATATGAAATGAAAGAGCAATAACTCCATCAATATGGAATGAGTGAGCAATAACTCCATCAATATGGAATGAGTGAGCAATAACTCCATCAATATGGAATGAGTGAGTAATAACTCCATCAATATGGAATGAATGAGCAATAACTCCATCAATATGGAAGGAGTGAGAAATAACTCAATCAATATGGAATGAGTGAGTTATACCTCAATCAATATGGAAAGAGTGAGCAATAACCCCATCAATATGGAATGTGTGAGTAATAATTCAATCAATATTGAATGAGTGAGCATTAACTCCATCAATATGGAATGGATGAGCAATAACTCCGTCAATATGGAATGAGTGAGTAATAATCAATCAATATGGAATGAGCAATAACCCCAATATGGAATGTGTGAGTAATAATTCAATCAATATTGAATGAGTGAGCATTAACTCCATCAATATGGAATGAGTGAGCAATAACTCCGTCAATATGGAATGAGTGAGTAATAATCAATCAATATGGAATGAGTGAGCAATAACTCCATCAATGTGGAGTGAGTAAGCAACAACTCCATCAATATGAAATGGGTGAGCAATAACTCCATCAATATGGAATGAGTGAGCAATAACTCCATCAATATGAAATGAGTGAGCAATAACTCCATCAATATGGAATGAGTGAGCAATAACTCCATCAATATGGAATGAGTGAGCAATAACTCCATCAATATGGAATGAGTGAGCAATAACTCCATCAATATGGAATGAGTGAGCAATAACTCCATCAATATGAAATGAGTGAGCAATAACTCCATCAATATGGAATGAGTGAGCAATAACTCCATCAATATGGAATGAGTGAGCAATAACTCCATCAATATGGAATGAGTGAGCAATAACTCCATCAATATGGAATGAGTGAGCAATAACTCCATCAATATGAAATGAGTGAGCAATAACTCCATCAATATGGCTGCAATGTTTGTGTGCATTTACATGAAAAGTGAAGCCATTTCATTGAATACATCTGTACTAGTGAATCTCTACTGCAAGAGTGAAACTAATTTAAATGGTTCCATGATATTAACATAAATTTAATATAAAATTACAATTTTACATAAAGTATCTTTTTTAAGTGTAATTTAAGTGTAATGTAAAAATTACCTATTCCCTTACCCTAAATACAAATTTAATTAAATTTTATAGAACTTAATTATTTAATTAAAATATAATAATCATATTTTGAATGATTTCCAGTGTGTTTGAATGTTGGTGACTGTTTGTTTGTTTACTCTAATATGCACATGAATAGAGTTTTGCATCCATTCCAGGAAGTAATTTGGAACACAACTAAATCTGGGCAACATTTCCTACAATTCTGCAACAGAGTTACAACAACCCAAAAAAAGCTTCAATACAAATTTAAAGCGGGGGAGTCATCACCTGCACATGCATCAGATGGCCATAGCGTGTCATTGTTTACAAATAAGCATCTACCCATGAGCTTTTGCGTTTTTAGTGTGTGTTGTAATCGTTGCTTGGGACTCAATTCGCGCGCGTGCACAGGTGATCACCCTCCCGCTTTAATATAATCCCTGATTTGACGCAAACACTATAATAATATTTGTGGGGTTATTAATCGTAATATCCTAAAATCATTGATTATCATTATGTAACAGTAATACTAATCAATTAGACACCACCACATACAAGCCCCTTTATCCTGGTATAAAGTTTTCACATCTGTTTTTAAGCTGATGTAAGTATATTGTAGTATATTGATGTAAACATGTATATTGTAATAGTTAGGGTAGTTTTGAAACCCTCTTTATGTTCTAACATGTTCCTATCTATTTTTCTTTGTTGTCAATGTAACTTGAAAAAACATACGTGAACACGATAATAGGAGGGACATTTCATGCTACCAGCATAAACCTTGGTGCTGATCTAGAATAGCATTTGTACAATTATATGGTAACACAACCTTGGATAACAATACCGTATTTTGGTGATTACAAAAACATCTCAAAACAGAAGTGCTCATACGGTAAAAATTACATTTATTATATGGTGATCATTGTAACATGAGCTATTTTAACCATCGACACACTTCTGTCATTTTCGAAAAAATACATAAAATACTTTCCTAAATAATTCCATTGAATATTATACTTGAAAATGGTCAACCTCAAACCCAGAATAAAAATATTTACATTTCTGCATCAGTTAAAAATCAGTGAATATTTCTAAATACTGTAAAGGGGTTAATTATTCACTGGGTTTTAATTTTGCTTATTTTGCTGACTGTAAAATGTGCTAAATTAAAACTCAGTGAATATGTAAAATTTAGCATAGAACACATTATCTAAATGATAAAACCATGAATTTAAAACACTGAATATGCCTGAAATGCTAAATCAGTAAAATTTAAACCCAGTGAAAATTAGTCATTTTACAGTAGACACTTTTGTTGATGTGTCTTGTGCACTAACAGATTTATTTATGTAAACATTGATGTATAGTTTTTAAAGATTATCCAAAAATTGTATTTGCACTGGACTAAAATATATCTTCTTCATACAAATATGGACTTCTAATCTTGATAAATCTAAGATTGATCTGAACTGAACATTCAGTTTAGATAGGTTTGACTGTATAAAAGACCTCTACAATCTGAACAATTATCTCAATCCCTTTGGTGTTCAGTTTAGACAGGTTTCATTGCAGCACAGACACTGCACAAACTTACCTGATGAGGACCGATGTATATGTTGACTATTAAAGCAGTTGTCACAGAAACAGCAAATACTAAAGACATAATAATAATAATTTTGAGACCGTTATCATTCTTTTGAGGTTTATGTTCTTCAAAGGTGAATGGAGAAGACTCGTTGACATCGTGGCTTTCATCTGATTCTGACCTTTCTCTATTTAATGTGTCTTCACAATCTAAAAGTAAAGTGTCCGCTGAAATATTGAGAAAAATAAAATTTTCAAACCTGTAATTTGCCTGGAATCAATGAATATTTTATAATATTAGTCACATGCTACCGGGTCATCTACAATAGTAAAATACATCACTGGCCAGTGAAGTGCTGCATGCTGGGAATTTCCCCAAATAATAATCTGCTTACATAAGTGGACAATAGAACAATTACGCAAAATATTTTTTTTTCCTTCACTTTTTCGAATATTTTTTTTTTGTGATAGTTTTTTTTATTTCTACACTATGTAATATATTTCCCTAAAAAATAAGCTTGCAGATATTTTGTTTGTTATTTACCCTACAATGCATTTTTTCTCTTTTTTTTCAATTAAGACATCACCCTAAAGTTTCCAATGGTCCACTCCTAAATGGCATTTTTAGCTACTGAATACTATTGATTGATCTGGGCAAGTGTTCTGAGTACTGCAAATGTCCAATTGTGCACTCACACAGATTTGTGCCGAATTTAGATATCTCGTCAATATTTGGCTTGATTTTCAGGCAATTTTTATCAAACATTACACTTGGATAAATAGAAATTAGACTCCCACTTTTAAATTAAATCAAGTTTAAAAGGTCATTAGAATTCAACTTTTGTGAAATGTCTTGAAACTGTACATATTTTATAGATAATGTAATTCGTAAAATTTTTGCTGCTAATAGTTTTTATTATTTAATAGTATATTATATATATTAATAGTATTCTGGAGACAATTTTGTGAAGAATACTGACAATCCATGATGTAGGACAACAGTACAAATTTTTGCTGAATCATTGCTGCTTGCTTGAATTAGGTCAAACTCAAAAAATCATGAAAAAAAGTGATGAAAAAAACCAAATCTCGCAGCAAACATGTACCTTGACAGGGAATTTATATATGAACGTCCTTGTGTATCTATAGCATTGCTTAGACCGCCCGAATAGCGTTGGTTTTCACAACTCCAGGCCAGAGAGAGAGAAAAAACGTGACGTTGTTCCGCGGTATCTTGGATTTAGCGACGGAAGGCTTTTATTTGTTGGTGTTTTTTTCAATAAGATAAAATATATATGTGAAGACCGGGTTTCGACATTTATACATCCACAATATTTAATTTATTGAAAAAAACACCAAAAACAAAAAAACAAAACAAACAAACATGACGAGATTGTATACAAGTCTAACGACAAGACCATTTTTTTTACTAAGAAACCCCACACAGATACGATGAAAGCCAACTCAAAGAATTAATATTCCGGCTTTTGCAATACTTAAATGAATTAAAAAAAAAATAATTGACGTGACAATAAAATTACAGAGGCAAAAAGGGCACCTTACATGCAACGTAGAGTTATTAGTTAATAAATACAAATACATCGTACATGCAAAGTGAATTGGGAAGAATGTGAAATGGGACGAATGTGAATTGGGTCGAATCGACTTGTGGGACGAATGTGAATTGGGACGAATCGACTTGTGGGACGAATGTGTTGGGACGAATGTGAATTGGGACGAATTGACTGTGAATCGTTTTTTGTATCGCCTAGCTTTTCTTACCAGACAAATCGACTTCTTCCAGTGAAACCACGTCCTTCCCGTTTACAGCGATATGTGGCAATTCGCTGTCATTCTCTATGTGTGTTGGTATTGTACCTGACATCCCAGAAACGATATCTGATGTTGGAAATTCGTACAAACGCTAAATAAAGATTACTCGTAGTATTCCTTCTTCGCAGGCTTCGAAGTGCTATCTACCGGAAGCTGTCATCTACAAGTCTACGCCTGCGTACGAAACATTCAAATCACATAAAAAATGTTTACGTAACAAAGTGGTAAACATATACATATTTAAATTATTTACTTTTACCTGCATAATTTTAAGGGTCAGTTTTCTCGAAAGCTGATTCGTTATTGTATAGCTGAGCATGCGCAGATGTGTTACGACCTTTAATTAAAACCGGCGTGTGTTTGTATACAAGTTTAGTGTAGTTTATCGTAAACTTAGAGGTAAATTGCTAAACTTTTTAAAACTTTTCCCGCCAACAATAAGACATAAAATTCAGGAAAAAAATTGTGAAAAAAATTGGTTAAAATCGTGTGAAAACTAGGCACTATTTTGTGCCGAGAACATGGCGGACTCCATAAGGGACCGTGAACACCTCCTGCCTAGCGGAGTAAAGCGGAAAAAAGCTAAAACGCAGCTCGTCAACATGTCAGCTATGCCCGGTAAGTACTGCGCCTCAACGTCCTTAAAAACGCCAAATATTACCAATAGTTTTTTTTTTAAACTTATTTTTTTTATTTACATGTTACTATATTACCGATTTTACCCAGAAATATTTGTAATTTCTGCGATATTTTTCTGTCAATGTGGCTTTTAGTCTTTAGGTAAAACGTGATCGATAACAATGGCTAACTGACGGCGCCTAGCCTGGCTGCCTTCCCTGGGAATATCTCCTCTAAGCCCGCTACATCTGTCGAAATTTTGCGGTCAATTTCTCGCACCGTAACACCCCGATTCCCCACTATTTTGAAATATTCGCGTCGACAACGTGTTCCGGCTATAAAAAAGGAACAAAATGTATCCAATTTAATTGAAAATTAAAGGAAAAATCTGGCGAAAATTGGCAACAACGTAACAAGCTTATCGCGAACGCGCGTTTGAATTTTTGCAGGGCTGCTGAGGTGGGTGGGTGTTAGTGCATGTATGCATCGTGGCATCATCGTTGCAAGAACAACAGCCTTGCAGACCGTGCCGGCGGAGCGTTACATACTCGGTGATTCACACCGGAACGTTTTCCTCTCAAGCCTGCGCAACCCAGACAGTGCTCGAGGTAGTCTGGCTAGCTTTTGACGCGACCGTGGATAATTTTAAATTCGATGTCACCTTTTTTCTTTTCTTTTTTTTAATGATTTTCTGTGTTCTGTTTTACATGATTGTTGTCGTACAGTGTTTTTTCGTATTTGATTTAATCGCTTGCTCCGAAGATGTCGGAAATATTGCTCGGTGTAGTGTGTGTAGTCTGTTGTGCAGTGTCTCTATTTCGGACTGTTTTCCCCAGCAAGCATTTTCAACCCGTTTTACGCAGAAAACTCGATACGTCTGTGGTCTGCATTTTTGAAACAAAACAAAATTTTGAAAATTTAAATTTGTATTTTGGGACATAATTTTAATAAATTTAGTTTTATAAAAAAAAAAAATATTTTTCTAATTTCTTCAGAATAAAAATAATAGGTTCTTAAGATTTCATAATTGTGAAAGGTGTTTTTACTAGTTTCAAGTTTCGTAATTTTAACAACTTTTTTTTGGTCATAAACTTGTAATTAAAAACAGCTTAAATTTGCTATGGTCTTGCTTCCGAACTTTTCTGTAATAATGTTTTGACTTTGGTTCAAAACATAGCAGGGAAACCTTCCAGTGCTGTTTACCCCTTAATTTGGCTGCCATGTTTTCAAAAATGCAGGTTCTAAGTGTAGCACATTTGCTGTTTTGCATGCATTTTTTTTTTATAAGTTCTGTGTTAATTTTTCAAATATTGACTAAATATCCAATTGGCTATAGGTTTTATACAAAATTTAATGAAAAATTTGAATAATTTCTTGGGTTTAACTTTATTTGCTCAAACTTGCCTTGTAGTCTGCAGGGGAAACTTGAAAATGGCTGCATCAAACAAATAAAACATGCTCAGTGGTATGAAGGTCTAAATATGTTGATTTTACATGTATGGAGGTGTTTTTTGCAGATTGATAAACAGATATTGTTTGGACCCTGCACAGATGATAAACTTTATCCCAAATATTTTCCCGCCAAAAAGTGTAAAAGTTTTTTATTTTGTCGAATTTGAACATTAATTTTAAACCAAACTGATACATTTTGCTGTTTTATATAGATTTTGATTAAGATTTAGAATTTTGATCAAAATTTTTTTTTTTTTTCAAAACCATCAGAATTTGAACACAATACAGTTGGAACACTTTCAAAAAAAGCTGGCATTTGATTTTTTATGAAGTTATGAAAATTGTTCAAAATAAAACAATTTCCCCCAAAATTATGATACAAGATCCCTGTTGGAATAATTAAATACAATCAGAAATTTGAAAGTGAAAGCTGCTTATGAGCTAGGAAAATACAAGAAATTATGACGCAGCGTCAGGTAGTTTTTTCCCCACCAGGCTTGAATTCACAAATTTGCTCATTCATAACATGCCCTAAGGACAATGGTAGTGAACTTTAGATTGACTACTTGGTATTGTAAAATACTTTTTAGCTAGAATTAATTATCGCTGAAAAGAATTTTTGGGTGTTGTGTATGAAATTTATTTTCATTAATTTTCGACAAATTGAATGTAAAATATAGTAAAAAAGGTATATTCGCTGGATTTTATTTTCACTGAATCATTCCTTCAGCGAAATTTAATTCCAAGCGAAAATAAAGTATTTAACAGTAATTCAACAACATGACACCTTGTGTGTAAATTTTGTGATCTTCATTTTCATTGTGTATCAGTACATTTATATCATGAGTGAAAGATTTAAGTACATCAAAATCTGTATTAGTAGTCACGGCTTCTATTAAAATGGTAAAATGCAACAGAGGATGGGGCTTCTGTTAGAGCATCTACATGTACACATATGAGAAATGGTGAATTTTTGGTTCTCAATTGTTCAAAAAGAATGGGTGCAACTTTTATTAGGGATGTGGCCTCTAATACAAATACAGGTACATGTTTCGGTAAAGTAGTCACTAGTACCCATGTGGTATTTTGCAATACGTCTGATTATTTTCCTATTTCTCTTGATATAGATGATTTCCTTACTGTGTTACGCAAAATGCAATGTGAAAAGATGCATTTCAAAACCTTTTTTATTGGACTTGCGAATTAATCAAAGGATACATTGATTTAATAATTAGCTTTTGAAAATGAACTGGTCCTTTGATCCTCTCTCGTCCATTCAGCTGCTGTTACCATCTAACCAAATGTGGGGCAATGTTGTAATGAATGGATTTTCTGGAATTTTATTAAGGCCAGATTTTTATTATCCCTTGTTTTGCGAACCCGCCGAATGAACAGGAGCCGAAAATGAAATAAAAATAAAATTATATTTCAGCGTAATTTCTCGCGCCCACCAACTTGTAAGTGCAAAAAATTGCTAAAAAAAACTTATTTTTATCTTCTTTTTTTTTTCGCCCGCCGCATAACAAACGCAAGTTGCATTTTCGTGGGAGTATCATGATCAAATTACCAAAGTCTCGCGCAGATGAGAAACAAGGTTATACATGGAATAAAAATTTATTTCATTTTTTCACTCCGATCAATGATCTCACTAACAATTTTTTGAGAATCACACAAATCTAATGGGAAAAAAAGATATAATTTTATTTTTTTTCCGCCCTCCTCAAAAAAAAGTCTGGCCGAATGTTGCTTGTATAACTGTTTACAAGATGAGGATTTTTTTGCAATAAAAAACTAAAGTAATTGGTAAGACTTGAATTTAAAAAAAAAACTTAACCTCAAGTACTGAAATTTTTTTACTGGCATATTTCACACATACATGTAAATTGTCTCTGGAAATGAATTGGATTTGCTTCATCTGCTATTGCCATGGTAACCTCTTGCCTTGTACGTTTTATGGTCTAATAGTTAAGAAAAAAAGGAACAGTCTGGACAATGAAAGTAGTGAAGAAGAAGCCTATCTATCCGCCCACTCCCAACTTGTTAGTCCAAACGATTCAATGCATCATGTAGTAAAAAGTAAATACTTGATTTACAGTTAAATATATGTTTATTAAAATATTTGTGTAAATAATTCAGTACTAACCATGTTGAAGGAAGTTAAACTATTTCCAAATTCTCACTGAATCATGATGCATTGTTTACAGTAGCATCTTTTTGCATTTTATGCGTCACATGGGACCCCATATTAAACGTGTCTGCTTCACTACAAATGTATGTGTGTACATGCATAAATGGAATTGGTATTAACTACTTAAATCACCTACTACTGTATTTCTTCTAAGCAAGCGCACATAACCAAAAATTGCAAATACACCATTATTCTAAAACCTGAAACTCTTTGCGATACCTGGTCCTTGATGCAAGAAAACTTCAATTAAAATATACCTACATTGTAGTATTCAATAACTAGTAAATGCACCAATCAGTATCAGGTAATTCCCCGTTTACTGTGAGATTTTACAAAATGTATGAAAGACGCAGATCGAATGTCTGCTATGAAAATTTTGTTGAACTTTCACATTTGTTGAATCCCACACATTGTGCATAATGCCAGATTTTGCAGTGAAGGGATCCATCACATGGGAGCCATTCAATTTATTTATGAAAAGTTTAGTGCCCTTCTTCTCAAACACAATCTGATTGGTCATTTACTCATGAATATGCAAATCATGGCCCCAAACTACAAACCTTCTAACTCGCATGTCAAGAGTGGAGTGAAAATAATACTATGCCAGTTGAGAATGATTCATACTAGCTCTTTAAAACAACTAATTTTGACCAGACACGCGAGTCATTTACTTGTGTTCATGCGCTACTAATAGAACAAATACAGTAAACCATTTAGCCCGCCCATTCAAATACATGCTACTTATAAGTGAAAAATTTATTCCATTTTGTTCTGTGAAAAAAGTTTCATTCATGTTATTGCAACTTGCATAGTATATATCATGTATTTTTAATCACATAATTATAATTAAAAAAATATGGTTTACAGTTTGTTAAAATTTTGTTTCATGTTTAAGTAATTCATCTTAAAGTTTGTTTGTTAAATAATCTTAAATTGAATTATATCAACAAATAAGTTATACATCTTTAATCAATGTCCACATTACGCATCATTTTGCACAATCTAACACCTCCAAGTTTTTGAAAGTAAAATGCACAATAAAACTTGGTAAGACACAAGAAATGCAATGAAATGCAATGTGAACATGGCTCTTTTTAATGCCAAGTTTTGTTGCCAAATTCAACCTGCATAATTGTTTTTAAAACTAAGATGCTGATTTGTTACAAAAATGATCATTTTAGAAACCACTCCCACTTTTGCGAGACCTCGTCCAAATTGTAACTTGGTGTTCAATTTAACAGTTAACAGAACTTAGAGTTATGGGTAACATACATTTTTGTTTAACATCTACATTTAGTTACTATAACTTTACGCAACAGTCAACCGAACATAGAGTTACAGGCAACATTAACTGATTTTCAAGTTATGGGAAAACATAAGTTTCTTTAAAACCTGTATCCTTTTTTAGAAAAGGCTTAGGCAAACAAGTTGAGTTAGGTTGAAATCTGGCCATAATTTTCAAATATTTGTTTTTAGTCGTAGTTTCACATATTGAGTGCTATTGAAGACTTGATTGCTGATTTGCATACGAGTAATTTGTCTTGAGGATGAAACCTTGAAACCACGACTTTTAGAACACTTTCCTGCTTGCTTGCATTTGTCCATGCATGCATGAATGTACACACCAGTTTCATAGAAGTACCTAGAACATTCACTTTCAAATGCTATACATTAATCATGTCAGATATATGCACATGTATTCAATTTAAGATCTTTCATAATTATTCGTAATTAAAAGTGAAGGAACCCAAATGTTCAATATCTTCAAATTCAATTATCTAAAAGTTGTGCAGCATTTCTGTGAATATGTGATTTTCGATAACTGCCAAAACTTGCAAAATGTATGAAAGGTGTATATCGAATGCCTGCTTCAAAGATAAAATGATTTGATTTTGAATTGAATTATTTTTAATCCAATTTCAAAATGCTGATTATTCGGAGAGGAATATGGCGTTAAAATGCCCTTACTTCTTCAAATTTAGCCATTATCAAATTAAGCATGGAAATGCGCAATAATTACCATCGCGTTTGTTAATCCCATGTAAAGTTTTGACGCCACTACTGCTCATAGCTTTGTTCTGTTTTTATGTTAGATTTCGCTCATGACATGGGATCTGACAGTAAACAGAAAAAAAAATATTGCTTTATACATAAATGTATTCACAACAATTGTATTTTATTGCTATGTGTAATGTACAATTTTTGGGTAAAATTAATACTAACAGATATATTTTTCTGCATAAAAATTAATACTAAGAAATGCATTTTTCTCCATGTATTTAACTTCGGTTGTGTAGATGTATATCTAACATTTAATGGTGATACTAATCTACTACATGTGATCGAGCTGACTGAGGTTTCCAACAAAAACATTCTATATCAATGACAGTTTTTTTGTTTTTGTTCCAGCCACTAATTCAACTGGAGGAACTGGCCGTGCATCTAAAGGTAAGTAGCCCAAACAATATGTGGCTTTCAGAGATCATGAATAAGTACCAGGATGTGTGACCTTTAGGGGAGGCATAAACAAGTACCAGGATGTGTGACCTTTAGGGGGCCATAAACAAGTACCAGGATGAGTGACCTTTAGGGGGCCATAAACAAGTACCGGGATATGTTACCTTTAGTGGGGGGGGGGGCATAAACAAGTACCAGGGTGTGTGACCTTTACGGGGGGCATAAACAAGTACCAGGATGTGTGACCTTTAGGGGGCCATAAACAAGTACCAGGATGTGTGACCTTTAGGGGGCCATGAACAAGTACCAGGATGTGTGACCTTTAGGGGGCCATAAACAAGTACCAGGATGTGTGACCTTTAGGGGCCATAAACAAGTACCAGGATGTGTGACCTTTAGGGGGCCATGAACAAGTACCAGGATGTGTGACCTTTAGGGGGGCATAAACAAGTACCAGGATATGTTACCTTTAGT